CGCAACCGTCGTGATGTGAACGAGCTGCCCTCCAACGAATACCTGCCCCCAGTGCAGATCAGCCAGCCACTCCCATCCAACGAGTACTTGCCCCCTGTCCAGAATGTTGAGCCTGTGCCTGCCCATGAGTTGGCCGATGATGGTTACCGTTACAAGACCAACCGCCGTGTTGTCTACCGTCGCCACCGCCGTGATGTGAACGAGCTGCCCTCCAACGAGTACCTGCCCCCTGTTGAGGTGTCAGTTCCCTCCAATGAATACCTCGCTCCAGTCTCCAACATTGTTGAGGATTCCCAGGGCCAGATCGCTGCTGATGGTTACCGTTACAAGACCAACCGCCGCTTGGTTGTCCGCCGCAACCGTCGTGATGTGAACGAGCTGCCCTCCAACGAATACCTGCCCCCAGTGCAGATCAGCCAGCCACTCCCATCCAACGAGTACTTGCCCCCTGTCCAGAATGTTGAGCCTGTGCCTGCCCATGAGTTGGCCGATGATGGTTACCGTTACAAGACCAACCGCCGTGTTGTCTACCGTCGCCACCGTCGTGATGTGAGCGAGCTCTCCAACAACTATCTGCCCCCTGTTGCTGCCCCATCCAACGACTACTTGCCACCCGTCCAGAACGCTGTCCCTCAGGTCCAGATCTCTGAGCCTTCCGTCATTGATGTTGGTGTGCCAGCTGTCGAGACTGAGGTCGGTCCAGATGGTTACCGTTACAAGACCAACCGCCGTGTCGTCTACCGTCGTCGTCATTAAACCCTCATCTGAAATGTTTCACTAAGTGATCAACTTGTGCTCATTTTGGAGTGCAAGTTAAATAATATGTAAGAAAATTTCATTTTTTCGCTCACGAAATAAAATTACTACGAAAATAACCAAGACTGTACTTGTTATTTATTCAATATTTCGACTTATCCATAGAAAAACATCTATAGTATATGATCTATCATTTTTCATCAACATAGGGTTTCCTATAAATGAAGTCCCTCATAAGGAAAGTCTAGTTCTAAAAGTCTGCCCACTGATCATATTATATAAATTAGAACTTACCATACAGACTTCAAATATATGTATATATATATATATATATATATGATGTCGTTTGAATTTTTACATGTTTAAATCAAGCAATGTGCAAAGCGAGAATCAAGACTGATTGAATAGATCAGCACTGATAATATATGAGCTACTATATATGTATGTATGTATACATACGTATGCATGTATAATGGGGGATTTCTTTGGAGTCTACTTAAGTCTAAAAAGAACAATGGAATCCAAACCGATTCAAACTATCTATATCTATATAAGCATACACGAATGCGCGTGGTTTACAAAAGAATAAATAAACTAGCTAGTTTCTGTCTTATGCAAATAAAAGCGTGGTGGTATTTAAATAAAATATAACAAAAGCATTTTAATTCCAGGAACAATAATAAAGAAAAACAAGTATAAATGGGAGATGAGGGTTTTTTTCCAGAGTTACCTCCGAACTGTACAACTTTACCCGATTTACAACGCCCCGCAGTGACCGTATATGCCTTGAGTGGGCATATCGAGGAAAGACTTTGCGAGGGTCTCAAACCAGTATTTCAAACTTAAATTATTAAGCTTCAATTTTCGGTAGTATATATGATAAGGGAAGTATCTATATCATCTTATTGAAAGAGAATCTTAGCGATTAGTTCGGTATTTACTTCAATCTACATGTAAAGTTAAGAAATAATATTTCATGAGATCCTCGTCAGAAAAAAATTACACAACACTTCGTCTTGGTCTCGGATAACATTCTTGTATTATCGCCGATTCCTTTAGAGTATATATTATATTGTATAATGTAGCAGCCTATATAGAAATGAGTACCTGAGTATTTGCTTCAACGAATAGGAAAAGCCTCTAAGCAATTCTTCCGTACATCCGCACTTAGTGATTGCCTGCTGGCAAATATTCACATGCATATAGTTTAACTGGAAGACTCTAAGCAATACACAAAAACTCGATTCTTGGCGCTTCAGCTGTCATCCTTCAGTTATGCAATACTTTTTGGAGGCACTGTCTGCCAAGAAGTCTGGCAGTCTTAGCTCGACTCGCGTTGACAATATGTAAATGAAGCAATAATCGAATTATATCGAAATCTAATTACGGATGAATTGACTTAGTTCAATGGGAGCAACAAAATAAAAACGTAAATAGATATATCAAAATAAGTAAATAAAAGGCGGCAAGAGCTTAGATGAGAGAAATTCCACGGTGAGGAGGGTTGAAGAAGATGAGGAAGAATGCTAATTAAAATGGATTATATCGTGGCCAGTTTTTGGCTGGCCAATTAAAGCTCAAGCATCAATAGTCGAACATAATTCAATTGATTCACTGCAAATAGATAAATATATTTATACATATAAATATATATTAATAAGCACATGTGTGTGTGTCACGAAAGAAACTTGTATTAAACCTGAATAACAATAAGAAAAGTAAAAAAAAAACTATAATAGATTAATTTTTTTTGGCGGTGCTGTCTAACTTTTTATACAAAAAGCAAAATACATTAATTTAATGCAAAGTCAAATGCTAATTTTGGTAGCATAGCAAGCGGTGTGATTAGAATCATATAAATATCGGAGAGAATTTAGCAAGCAGTATCATTTCTTCTTGGGATTCTGCACTTAGCTGAAGAACAAAAAGCAAGCTAGCAAAATGGTAGTTAAACCACCTGCAGATCCTTGCTGAGGGACTGCCACAGTGAGACCCAACTAATTGTCTTTCTTTTTCAATTCGCAGAAACTGTTGTTGCTCTGTGCCTTCGTCGCTGTCGTTGCCGCGGATGTTAGCCATCTGCCAACCAACCAGTACCTGCCACCTGTCCGTGGCGCCGCCTCCGCACCAGTTGCATATGCTGCTTCGGCTCCAGTGCAGCAGTACTCTGCTCCCGCTCAGTCCTACTCGGTTGCTTCTTCGGCTCCAGTGCAGCAGTACTCTGCTCCCGCTCAGACCTACTCGGCTGCTGCCTCAGCTCCAGTTGAGCAGTACTCTGCTCCCGTCCAATCCTACTCGGCTGCTGCCTCAGCTCCAGTTGAGCAGTACTCTGCTCCCGTCCAATCCTACTCGGCTCCTGCTACGTACTCCGCCGCTGCTTCCGCTCCAGTAGAGTCATACAGCGCTCCCGTTCAGAACTACAACGTTGCCGCCTCTGCTCCAGTCCAGAGCTACAGCGCACCTGTTGCTGACACCTACGACACCTCTGCCTCTGAGCCAGCACCAGCACACAGCTTCTCTCCGTCCGAGGGCTACCGTTACAAGACCCACCGTCGCGTTATCCGTCGCCATCGTCGTGGTGTGCCCTCCAACGACTATCTGCCCCCAGTCCAGGGTGCTGCCTCTGCTCCAGTCAGCGAATACCTGCCTCCTGTAGCCTCTGCTCCCGCTCCAGTCTACACCGCAGCTGCCTCTGCCCCAGTTCAGTCCTACAGCGCGCCAGCTGTCGAATCCTATGGCGCTGAGAGCTACGACACCGCTGCTTCCGAGCCAGTCGCAGCCCACACCTTCTCCTCCACTGACGGTTACCGCTACAAGACCCACCGCCGCGTCATCCGTCGCCGCAGATACTAAATGGCAAGCTATCGAGGCTACCCAGCAAGCGACCCATCAAACGCTACTTCCAGCTGAAAAGTTGATTTCAATGATTTGTACGGCGATTGCCAGGGAACAGTTTTAATAAAGAAATACCCATCAAAACGATTTACAAATGTATTTTAAATCCACTTTTCTATATTCTAAACAGAATATTTTCCACTCAAACACATAAAAACATCTTTAGTAATGAATAAGGAATACCATAAATAAGATTGCTTAAATTAAATATATGTATATTGTTATAGTATGCATATTCATCTATACCTGATGACAACATAATGATATAATCTATTTCAAAAGTTTTTGAGCTTAGCTTCTGAGGCCCAAAAACAAAAATGTTATGTAAATGTTTTGCAATGCAAATTTCATAAGCCAAACTGTATATATACTTTTTTTCAACTTTTTTGTTTGTATTATTTTTTATTTTAATTTTAATTTTATTCAAGCAGTTAAGAGTTTGTCTAGACCAACGCTAAGAATAGACCAATAATCCGGTATAAAAGCACAGAAAACCCCAATCACGATAGTTTCTCAAATGTCATAGATATGTTTAATATACATATATGTTAAGTAAGACATACGGATCATCATTAACCTTTCACAGACAGTAAGCGATCTCGAAATTTTTCTCTTGAACTCTACTAATTTGGCTATCACAAGCTATATCCCAAATTTTACACCCATACTTTCATATTGGCGCAATGATATGCTTATGAATTGTCTCCCTATTCGACTGTATCAGTCAGTCGGATCAGAATCATTAAGATCCGTTTAGATTTCAATGGTTAGCCGGCGCACTCAAACGGAATTTTAATACTAAGATTACAAAGAGGCCTTTGGAATAAAACACTTTGGAATTAAACACTCTTAATAAAAATGGCTGAAAACAGTTTGCATAGTTTTAGGTGCAATTACTTGACGCGCTAGAAAGTATGTTCCTCAAATATCTAGCTAGCTAGTCCCTAGCTTAAATTTGATTCCATAGCATATGCATAGGGCATATACTAATAATAATAATAGGAAACTTTGCTAAACGGAAAAAGGCGTATCTGAGCAAGAGCATTCGTTTTAAGCCATTTTTATCAGCGATTTGCGTCGTTTGACTTGAGGAATACTTGCCAGCTCTGCTAAGAAGTAAAGCCAAATGACAATAATATAACAAACAAAAAAAAAATTAAATAAAATCATTCAATTCTACTTTTAATAAATCGTAAGCTACTATCTAAAATTTCAGTTTGGAAGCTATGCAGAGTGCTCTCCTATGCTTCATATAGTATATTGGCATTTCTTAACTCTGCACCAGGAAATATAATTTATCAGTTTATACATGCATGTTTCCAGGAATCGTTATTCAGTATTCATATTATAATAGAAACTATGATCACAAAAGAATTTTTTGTTTCATTTCATAAACTTTATTAAAGCTATTCAAAAAAAACAAAAAAACATTATACCCTCATTTCCCATTTTCAACGGGTTCAGGGTATAAAAGAAAAAATCATAATTTTCATTAACATGGTTCGATTTATTTCAACTGATTTTTACAAACATATTTTAATGACTAAAATTCGATTGCAGAGACGGCGAGTACAGACTCAGATACATATATAATTTTCAAGGGTATACATTAAATAAATTTATTACAGTTAATTACAATTATTTAATATCGTATGTTCCTATCGGCACGTAGAGGCAATCGTATGAATTAATTAGTAATGGTCTAGGCTTTTGAGGAGCCTAGAAAAAAAAGGGAATTTTGGGCTTTGGATAGGAATAGCCTACGGGTGGCAGATACGAGGGCGCAATGGTGCTAGGGGTCGTTCGGGTGGTCGTAGTAGTTGTTCGAGTGGTCTTCGGAGTTGAGGGTGGGGGAGGTGGAATATACGTTGACGGAACGCGGATCCTTGGAGTTGTTGGAGTGGGCT